AAGGAGTAGACAGAAGTCCCTGCCGGGGACAGGTGTTGACCCAGGAGCCTGCCTGTCATCAGGGAATGACTGGCTCTTCCTCACAAGCCCCCGGACCTCAGCAACCTGATCCAGGTGAATGTGGGTGGGGCCTCTGCCTGGGCTCAACCCTAGAGAGGGAGCCAATGAGGTTGAGGCTGTCCTTGGATCTCCATATAAGGGCTCAGAAAACTGCCTGGGACCTGGGCCTTTCGCCAGCCTCTTGTACCCCAAGCGTAGGCTTGCATCGCCATTAGACTTGCGCGATTTTAATGGCCAACAGTCCTTCCTGCTCTTCCCGCTTCTTGGGTTCGTCAGGCTCCCTGCTTCTTCTCCAGCTGGGGGATGAGCGGAGGCAGGGAAGGCGGGCCTGGGGCACAGGGCACACAGCTCCCTTTGTGACTGTGGCTGAGTCACATGGGCAATGCCATCTCCCTGGGCCCTGGGGCTGCTGTGATGGGAGATGGCGTGATGGGGTGGCTGAGGCTGCCCCCACGCCTGTGGCCAGGATGCTTTCCCACGGGAATGACAGTGGAGGTGGCTGGGAGCATCGGCTGAAGAGCACGCGGTCTGGATCCCAGGACCAGGGTTCAAGCGCTGCCTCTGCTGGTGACGTGTTGCGAAGCTTTGGGAAGGCTCTCTGAGCCTCAGTTTCCATCTCTGTAAAATGGGAACAGTCATCACTGTTTCCTAGAAGGGATACTGGACATGAAAGGGCTTTGTATACTGTGGAGTGCTGGGCTTTTTGGCATTTGTGTTGACTTTATTATAGTCATAATTGTAACTAAACAAAAACAGAGGTTTGGCTACGTGTCGCCACAAAAGCCAAATGCGTGAGACAGATGCTCGTGCAAAAGGAAGGCGGTTTTATTCAGATGCTGGGTGACCTGGGAGAATGGCGAGCTCTGTCTCAAAACCCATCGTCACTCTGTGCCACGGAACAAGTCCAGCCAACCTCGGCAAGACCAAGACAAAAGCCAGTGGCCAGAGTTCCTGCTCCATGTTAAGGCACAGCCCTTTGGAGCACGCAGGAGGCTGCTAAGCAGACTTAGGCCCCATCCAGGCGGCTCAGCTTGTTTCCAGCTGCGATCCATTTCAGGCTCCGTCCTGGATCCCGCGTGTGGAGTCCACACGGCCATGGACCATGCCGCTGCCAGAACCACATGGTCGCACGCTCGTCACCAGGTGGGCAAGAGAGAGCGAGAGAGGCTCCCTCCTGGAGGCCATGGGCCACATGGGTGCTAAGGCCACATGGCCATGGAGCTAAGGCACTGTGCCAGTCATAAGCCAGAGAGCTTCCTTGTTCCCCTGGGATTATATCAGCTGGGTGGGGGACAGACCAGGAGCTTTCTCAAGATGACCAATCAACGTCCCAAACTTCCGTGTGCTTTGAGTGGGTTCACCTCCCAACCGATCCCTTCCTTCCCCAGTCTAGACCGACGGGTCTCTTTGGTCCAGGACCTCCCTCTGTGCCATTCTGATTTCTATGGCATGTGTGCCTGTCTTCCCCTGGAGCCACCCCCAATCTGGTACTGGAGGGGGCAGGGTTTTTTCCTCTATCCAGTTGTCTTGGTAGCTTTTCGTTCATTCAGAGTAAGAATCTCCCCCTGCCACCACGTTGGCCGAAAGGAGAGACTCCCCAGTCCTCTAGAAGTCGGTTTTATAGTAACATCATAACATTGTGCCAGGTGTGGTTCTCAATGATTTACAAGGCCACTCAGCTTGCAAGGAGAGAAGCCTGGACTTGAAAGCTCTTGTCCAACAACAGGTCACCTCCACGCAGGCAGCGGTGGCCCGTGGCCCTTCTCACAGGGGGCCCAACTCACACCACTCTGGCTGGAGGCTTAGAGACGGAGAAGGGTGAGGCCTCCAGGAACAAAGCCGTGTCCTCCCCCTTGCCCGGGCCTCCGACCCAGTGGGCTCCGTGGGTCTCCCCTTCTCTTACCCTGTCCTGGGGTCCACACGTGCTCCCAGATCCCCCGCCCCCCCGGCGGTCCCATTACGATCTCATTTGCAGGCTGCTCTGAATAGGAAAACGCTCGCAGATGCACCAGGGGCGCTCCTTCGGGCCTGGGCCTGGTGGCCTCATTTATTCTTCCTGGCGGGGCTGTTGTCATCCCCACTTGAGTCCTCCCAGCGGGCAGGGTCGGGAGTAGAAGCCACTTGACCCGAGTCCAGAGTAAGGGCTTCCAACTTCTCACTGCAGCGTGGCCCCCTCTTCTGTCCTTGAAAGTAAAAGCCTCCCTGCACTCCCCACCTTGTCTCTGGCTGCTGTTACTTTCAGTAACGCACATCGATGTTTCTCTCCTTCTCTTTCTCCCTCCCTTTCCCTCTCTCTAAAAGTAAATAAATAAAAATAAATAGATAGATAAATACAGACCCAGCCAGGGCTCTGGGGTCAGCGCACTTGGTCCAAGCCCTGGCTCTGTCCCTGGTGGGCACGGCCAGCCCCTCCCCGCTGCGGGCCTCCGCCCTGGTTCTGTGATGCGGGGGTAGCGACTGTTGTGTGAACCAGAGGAGGTGATAACTGTGAGGAATTTAGAAGGGCCTAGAAGGTTAGAGCCCACACCTCAGGCTGCCCGGCCACACACCAGCTGTGTGACCTTGGCTCCGTTACCTTGTTTCTAACGTCCCAGAGGGTCCCTGGCCACAGGATGGGGAGGGAATTAGAGTAACCACGTAAAACAGAGGGTCCCGCACAGTGACCCTAGGGACACAGCGGCTGTTCTCAGGCCTGTCAGTAGGACTAATGGTAGGCAATATGGTGATTAATAATAAGTTATTTGGATTCTCTCCTTGGACTCCCTGAGCCTTCTGGGAGCTCTGTGGTGCCAAAAACTGACTCCCTGGCATCGCCCTGATGTGAATCAGACCTGGAGCTGGGCCTGTTCCCCACCCCGGAGTCCGGCACAGTGCCCAGCACATAGTAGGTCTCTGAGAAGCCCAGTGGGGAAAGGGCAGCCAGAGCCAACTGCAGCCCTGGCCAGGCTGCCTCATAGGCCTTTCCTGTGTGGCCCAAGTGGCAGCTGGCTCCAGGTCTCTGTGTCCCTTGCTTGGGCGGCCAGCACGGCAGGACCCTGCCATGTGCAGGGAGTGGCGCCTCCAGCTTTCCATCTGTGCCCTGCTGGCCAGCACCCCCTGGGGGTGTGGCTGGGGGCATAGCTGCCCCGCAGGCCCCAATCCCAGGGAACAGCTGAGGCTGCCCCACCTAGCAGGTGGCCCAGCCCTGAAGGACAGACCTTGGGGAAACTGAGGCGTAGAGGTGGTGACTTGCTTGGGGACATGATATGTAAGGGACTCCCCATCCTTTCCTGGATAACTCGCTTTTGCTCCCGTGTTTCCCGGCCCCCCATGGTGGGCCGGCCCCTCCGCCCTGATCATGGAACGTCCACTGTGACCCTCGGAGGGAGCGGCAGGACAAGCACCTGCGGTGCCTGCTCGTCCCGGGCAGGAGCCCCAGTCTGGGCGGCCCGCCAGGTAGCTTTGTTGCCCCCTGCAGCCTGATTTGTGCAGGTAGGTGAGGGGTATCCTCCACCTGCAGCAACCCCGGGCCCCCAGGCTGCCTGCAAAGTTCCATTCGTGCTGCACTGGGTGGCCTTCCTCCTCTTTGAGAGCAGGGCCCCGCAGGTTCCTGAGCCTGAGCTCCGTGCGGGCCTCAGCCCAGAGGCCCGGAGAGGCTGCCTTCGGGAGTGACCAGGAGGGTCAGTGCGGAGCCCGGCTGCCTGGTTTCCGTCCCAACCTTGCCACTTCTGGTTGTGTGACCTTCGGCAAGTTAGTTCCCTTCTCTGAGCTTCATTTCTCTGTTTTGTGCTCTCCCTTCCTCATCGCCACATTTACAGCAAATATTTTTCGAGGGCTCATCAAGTAGCAGGCACCGGTCCGAGCAACCCGTCCCCCTTCCTCCCCCCGCCACTGTCTTGTGGTGCAGTAGCCATAGTGTGAGGGAAAAGCCTGGAATGTAATAAGTGGTCAGTAAGAGTGATCACCGTTGTTATTGCTGTTGTTGTCATCACTTACCCTCGTAATGTTGTGAAATCCTTACAGCACCTGTGACTTACAGGGACGAGGGAGGGCAGGAGTCCCAGCCACCATGAGCCATCAAAATCCCCCTGACTCCCGGGACCTCAGCAGAGAGAGCGAGCTGCTGACAGGGGCCAGTGACCACAACGGGGATGGGGCTGTTGGCCCATGTCCAAATTTCCCTCTCTGAGCTCTGAGCTTTTAGAGCCACCAGGAATGAATGGTTCTTCACCTGGGCCTCAGTTTCCTCTCTGGCCCAGTAGATGGGCTAAAGGATGCCTTTTCCAGAAGCCCTTGGGATCTCAGAGCCCAGCGCTTGCGTCTTGGGATGTTGACACTGTGTGTGCTTGGGGAGCACTAAGATGGGTCCCGTTGCTGGGAGGACCGGAGCTCAGGGAGGGCTCAAGGTCAGGTGGCCAGCTGTGCACGGACTGGCTGGCTGCATGCCAGGTGCTTGACACCCCTCCCCCCAGCGCCTTCCGCTCTGCCGGTCAGGTCTGCTGCCAAGGAGGTTGGACGCTTTCAGGAAGGGGCAGTTGTGTCCTAGGCTTGGGGGTGGGGGCAGCATCAAAGCGGCCTGTTGCCGTAGCAACCCTGGCCTCTGCGGGAACTTTGGGGAGAACAGCCCTGGGGAAGTGGCAGATGGAGAACGAGGAGGCAGCGATATCCCTGGCCAGCGCCTGTCTGGGGAGCCCGGCACCTGTCTGCCTGGATGAGGGGTAAGGCCGAGGTGCCCCCTTGTCCATTGCTGAGTCATAGGCATCAGGCAGGGTCGCTGCATCAGCTCGTAGCCCTGCCCGCGCTCAGCCTCCCTCTGAGAAATCCGTGACTCACTTTGGTCTGTCCTCCTCAGCCGTGCTGGGGAGGAGGGAGGAGCCCATCGGGGGCTGGAGGAGGCACCCCCCCCAAACAAACCCTCACACTTCCCCAGGCTCCTCCTCCTCCTCCTCCTCCTCCTCCTCACTGGCTGCCTGCTGGCCCTGCCTGCCCTGCCCTGCGCAGGAGCAGGGCTGGGAGCCTGCCACACGCGAAGGAACGGGAATGAAGGGACGGCTCCCGGCTGCATCACGGCAGACAGGTTGAGCCTTGGAGGTGGATCTTGAGAGGCGGTTCAACTGCCTCACCCTCCTTGGGACCCTCCTCGGGACCCTCCTCGGGACCCTCTGCCTGGCACCAGGTACCAGATCAAGGAGGGAGGAGGGATGGAGTGTGTGTGGCGGAGAGAGGGGAGGCGGTATAATGGGGAATTCGGAGGTCTTGGTATTTGGGTGGGAGGCATCCGGAGGAGCATTGCTGTGCTCTCTAGGGTTAGGGGCAGATGGATGGGGGAATAGATCCCTGGAAAGGGGGCAGGGCCCCAGAGGATGGAACTCTCAGAAGCACTAGTCAGTAGTGAGCTGGGGAAGCTGAGGCTTACTGGGCACAGCCAGCAGCGGGCTGCTCCCTGAGGGGCGAGGTTGCTCTTCGCACTCGCTCCCAGATGGGAGAACCAAGGCTCTGAGAGGGCAGGTGGGTCACCTGCGGTCACGTGACAAGCCTGGGGCTGGAGACCCAGGGTCCCGCCTCGGGAAGGAGAGGCTGCCGCAGGAGATGGGGCACCCGGCCCCTGAGGGCTGGGTCTGAGCCCCCAAGGGAGCTGAGGGCAGTCTGACTCTTCGTCACACACGGACCTCCTTGGGAAGGGGGTGATCTTGGCTCTGGGGTTTGAACTCTGGGGGCCACAGGAAGACAGATGGGGAGGCTGACTGAGGCTGAGAGCTGGAGAGTGCGCCGCCCAGGAACCACCAGGCCCCAGGGCTCCTGCCTGCTGGGCACCGATAAGGCCTCCCCTGCCCCCTCCCCCTAGGAGCTACCCGATCCCACCCTGGGGAAACTGCTGGTTCCTGTCCTGCCCCCCTCCCCTACCAGCCTCCTTCCTGTGGTACTGAGCTGGGGTCTCCCAGGGCCCCATGGGAGGGGGCTGGTGCTCCTTTTCCTGAGGAGGGTTGGAGGGCCCCTCTCAGCCCGCCACCCCGCCACCCCACTCCCACCCTGCCTGGAGCAGCTCCGGCCTGGGTGGGGCGGGGGATGGGTGGGTAGAAATAGCCTTCGTGCGTCTAGAGAGACAAGGAAGTTACACATGTAAACATTTCTTGAACACCTACTGTGTGTCAGCTACTGTCCTAAGGGTGAGGGACAGGGCAGTGAAAGAGACAAACAATGTGTCTCAGAACTCGTAGTCCAGACCCAGAGCCAAGCCCTCAACAGCCCTCCTCCCGCCCCATGGGTACCCTGAGGGCAGAGGGCTGGTTCCTTGGGGTGGAGACTGAGTGGCATGAAGTGTCTCCAGTCCAAGAGAGCCACCAGCTGCTGAGTTTGTTCCCAGAGCTGAGGCCGGGGTTCCTGTTGGCGAGGGGACGGGAGTCTAGGACTGGGACTAGCCCTTGGGGCCAGACCTGACCCCTCCCCACCCTTTGCTGCAGAGATTGACATACAGACCCACGTTGGTCATGGCAGCACGGTGGCCACCATGCCCTCCCCCTCTCTCTGGGCTTCAGCTGAGAGTGTCAGGTCATGAAGGACATCCATGCCATTGTGGTCTGTGAGGGAGACCACACCTGCAGCTGAACGGGCCTTTCAAGGTCCATCTTAAAGTTCTAACCTGCCTGCCGTGGACCTGCTGGGAGGGAGCCCTGTGTGCAGGCTGGGCTCCCAGCTCCTCTCCTGCGCCCGGCAGGGCAGGCGGGCGGGCAGGCAGGGAGGCAGGTGTGGTCTCCGAGGCAGCCTGTGCTGCTGTTGCCCCAGGCCCCGGGGCAGGTGCCAGAATCTTGTGGGGGACTCAAACAAACAAGACAGTTAGGATCAGAGGCTGAGGAGTGAGATAAACTCGCTGGTGGAGGCAGGAGAGAACTTTCTGACCTAGGAGAGCTGGGGCGCTCCGCAGAGGATGCCCAGGCTGGGCCTGGGGACCGGTAAGGGCGGCGAGAAGGGTCCTAGCGTGTGTGTGAGGGCGGCTGTGGGCATTCCTGGAGGAGGAAGCTGTGTGGGAAAAGTTTTGGGAATGGTAGAGCCTCGGGGAATGGGGCAGGAGATGGAGATGGAGACCTGGCACGTACGGGTCATCTCATGGGGGCTGGAGTTCCAGTTTGGCAGGTACTAATCTGCCCGCGGGGGAAGAGATGGTAGGACACCTTGGGCAGGACGGGGCGGGCAGCATTTTTGGTGCAGGGCTCAGGCTTGTGATCGAGGGACCGTGTGTGGGTGGTGGGAGCCGTGCCAATTTCAGGGCTGTGGGTTGGCTTCTGCACAGCAAGGGTGAAGAGTCAGGGGCAGAGCTGGGCGGGGAGTGAGAGCAATGTGTCAGCATAGCGCCAAACCCGGTGCTACCCTGCCCGAGAGCTTTAGCAGCTCGCTCTGTACCCTCAACTCCAACTGGGGGTGGCTCTGTGACCTCTTCTTCTGACTCACAGCAGATGGGGCATCATGTGAGTAAACCTGGCAGCTGGGAGACCAGGACCCCGGGGAATGGGCAGATGGTGGGGCCGGGGGGCGGGGGGCAGCAGGCAGGGTTGGCACAGAGGGGCCTCTCAGAGGGGGTGGGGCGGCACCTGGCCGGGCTCAGCCTCTCCAGGCTTGCCCTCTGCCTGTCTGGTCCTCAAGCCCCCTCCGGAGTTCCCCAGGTTCCTGCGGAGCTGTGCAGATTCGGGGGCCAGGCCCAGGCTGCTGGGCAGAGGGGCCACGGGTCGGGGAGGAGCTTGGGACACGCGATTTCTGACCCCTGCTCCGTCCCAGCCTGCCCCGTCACAGGCGGGCTGAGGCACGGCCGGGGCCGCAAGCCCCAAGCTCTCCCTGGTCCCGCAGGCTCGGCGGGGCCAGAACGCTCCTTGTGCCCTCAGAGCTGGCGGGCCCCAGGGCTCAGTGCTTTGGGGGCTCTGAGGCCGGTGTGCGTGCTGAGCCCACCTAGAGGCGAGGACCCTGAGGCGCAGGGGCTTACCTGTGAGTGACCGCCCGTGTTTGGGGCTCTCGCCCACCAAGCTCTCCTGCGCCCTCGGTGGGGAGGCGGCTCCCCGGCCAGGCCAGGCTCTGTGCTGGGTGCCCTTGCCTGCAGCCCCCTCCCCGCTCGCTGCTGCCCTAGCCCTCCGGGCCCCACAGAGAGAGCAGGGCCACGCGCCTGGGGAGGACCCTGGCTTTGTTCTTCTCTGGCTGTGGGAACTGGGTGCCTGCCTCAGTTTCCTCATCTGGAAAAAGTAGTTAACAGCAGGATCTATGTGGGGGTCTGTTGTGAATAGGGAAGCATTTGGAACAGCCCCTGGCCCATATAAATGTCAGTCTTGCCGCAGTCTCCCCCATTGGGCCGATGGGTGCACCGAGGCCCAGGCATATCCTGTAATAGCTTGGGGGACTTACTCTGCCTCCCCGTAGGATGCGGTGGCCACCTGGGCTGCGGGAAGAGCCTTGGCTTCCACCCCCAGCCTGACTTGTGCTTTGGCGGGGCGGCCTGTGGACGGGGCCTGTGCTCCTGGGCTGATACCAGCTCAGGCTGTTAGTGGTGAGCTTGGCAGCTCCAGGCTGGCGGAGATCGAAGCTGAGGGCTGGAGGAGCTGGCAGAGCTTCTGGGAACCAGGGGACAGGCCTGCGCATGAGAAGGAGATGGCCTGCGGGTGGGGCCCTCAGTGTCCTGCAGCCAGCCCAGCTCCAGTCCCCTAAAGGCCGGACGTTCTGCAGCTGATGGCTCCAGTGGGGCTCCCCCGGCTCAGGGCCGCTTAACTCAACCTCGGATGAGCAGCAGGGAGAGAGCCACCTTTGCCAACTCTCAGTCCCTTCCACCCTCATCGCTCTAGGCCCCCGGGGGTAGCTTGCTGCCCGAGGCCCCAACCCCCTGGACCTCAGCATCCTCACCCACACAGGGGGTGGGGGGTGACATTTTCACCATGGCAGGGCTGTTGCTGGAACGGTGGGGCAATCAATCGCGGCAGGGAGTGGACTCAGCGCACCGCGCGCCTGCGCGAGCTCCTTCCTAAACTTGAGCTGAAGGCTTTGTCTTTGGGGTAATGGGGTGGTTGAGTTAGAACCAAGTTCAAATCCTTGAAAAGCGACCTTGAGCAAGCAGCTTGAGACCTCGAAGCCTTATTACTTAGGCTGGGAACTGGGATGGAGAGACCTGCAACCCCCGTGTCTAAATGAGCCCGTGCAAGGGCTCACCGTGGCAGCCACATGCTGCAGGGCCCACGGGCAGGGGAGCTGTCCTCAGCTGTCCAAGACCTCGGCTCCTCCGTCGCCCCGCGCAGCTGTTCCCCTGGGAGAGGCAGCACAAAGTGCAGAGCCCTGGGGCTGCCCAGCTCTGTCCCAGCCCTGTCAGCTGTGTGAGCGTGAGCAGCTGCATCAGTCTCTCTGTGCCTCGCTTTCCCCAGGGAGCCACTGCGTCTTCAGCGCTGAGTACAGTGCCTGGCACAGTGTGGTGATGTTGTCATTGCCACCGTTCTGGGCCAGCCCCAAACCCTTCTGCTAGAGAGCAGCGGCGAGTTTGTCCCCAAGCTGTGGCCCTGTCCTCCCATGATGTCACTGGGAAAGGCGTGACCAGAGAGCCTGCTGCCACGAATCCTCTGATCCAGTGGGGTTCTGATCTGCTGACCTGAGTTGCTCTCCAAGACGGGGACTCCCTGCTGCTCCCTGAGACCCAAGGTCGGACCAGCTTGGCCACTGGCCTGGGCCTGCCGGGGAGGCCTGAGTTCAAGTTGGGCTGGTTTCCCAGGACAGCCCTCTGTGGTCACTTCTCTGCCAGGCTGAGTTCCCTTGGCCCCTGGGTTTCCTTCTCAGTGTCTGACAAAGTCTGGCCCTCAGGGTGTGGCTCTGTGGCTGGCACCCTATGTCTCTGACCCTATGGCGGGGGGACAACTGCTCAGACCCACCTGCTTTGGTGGTGACAAATGCAAGGGGTGAACCCCAGGGGCTGGCTATGCTGGGGGCAGCTGAGTCACATGGGGCCTGGCACCCTCTGCCCTCTGCTTCTCCGGCTGCGTCACCCTCTGGGCCTGCGTCAGACCCTTGGGGCAACTCACAATCCAACGCCCTACCCCTGGTGTGTGCCGCTTCACTGCCAGCAAAGGCTCTCCTTCAGTCCCAGGTGCTGTGGGTCCTCGGAGATTCACGTTTTTATCCTTATTTCACAGAGGAGGAAGCAGGTCCCGGGTCCCCAGG